TTTGTTTTTTGTTACTCTTTTAACCATTACATATGAAAGATTTGTGGTTAGTCTTATGCGGAACACCAAATTTATTCTTTAAAAACTTGTGGTTAATTAATACCGAGCGATTAAAAGTGGCCAAAAGGTCGCCTGCTTCCCTCTCGCCCGCCAACGAAACCACAGACAGGTTACGTAACTCTGTCGCCAGAGCACTGCAGTGACGTCATATGAGGAACGATTTTCAGTTAGTTGTATAGAAAATGTGTAGCACGCTCATCATTTTGATGATTTCTCGACATCAACGACGACATGCCGAATCGTTGCTTTGTCGTCAATTGCTCCTAGGGGTCGGGCGATGGTGTCCCCATGCACATATTTCCACAGGACCCCGCAGTTCGTGCTAAATGGGTTATGTTTGTGAGTGCGAAGCGAGCGTTGTGGAAGCCTGAAACGATATCTTACTTGTGTTCAGATCGCTTCACGGAAGTTAAAGAATCAAAACTACTTACTAGTTGTAGTAAAATATGCATATGATTGATGACCATAAAGATTTTCTATGACACAACTTGTAACATAACGATTTCTTCCTCGGAAGTGGTCGAAGTAACAATAATATTGTAAGTAGTATTATATTGAAACCCACCTCGCTGCCACGAGAGAAATTGTTATGTTATAGGCTATGTCATGCAAAATCCTATTGGCCATCAATAAAATACATATTTTACTACCAGTAGAAAGTAGTTTTGATTTTGTAACTCGGTGAAAACAAACCTAAATACCATTTATCCTCAGACTGGCGGATGTTCCCGACAGGGCGCCGCCATTTTTAAAAATAAAAAATCTGTTAGAATTAATGAGATTATAGTTTGTTTTCATCAAGTTAGATAATCAAGACTACTTTCTACTCGTAGTTAAATATGTATTGGAATTATAACCAAACGGATTTTGCATGACACAACTTATAACATAACGATTTCTTCCACGGAAGCGAGGTGGGGGTCGAAGTCACAATACTGCGCGATAAATTTCTTGCTACATTCCCATGGTTAATGTCCACTCACCAGTATGTAGATACTAGTCAATGTGCGTCTTGTATTTGGTCTTATAATCCTAATTAGTTTATTATCATACTTGTATGCATTTTGAAACTAAATAAAAGCAGACGATCTGCTGATACTTATAGTGAATTTAAAACAGAACTGTAATATCTAGACATTTTATAGTTTGCCAATGTGAATCATAATTCGCACACACACCCTAGTGCATGTTGTCTGTCTCATTACATTTCACGGCGAAAACAATGATTCTGTTGAATGCTACGACAAATGAATAAAAACAAAATGCAAATATTAAAATTAAAACAGATTAAAGTTATAGGAACAATATCAGGCCATTACCTTGTTCGAGGAATGTATCCATCAATATCCACAAAACTGTTCCAAATGATATGTCTTTTAACAGTTTAATATACGAAAAAGTGATCAATCTTTTCAGGCATTGGTGTATAGTCTCATTGGTCACCCAAGAAAGCACACCTGGCAACTAATTGCATAATGTCCGCCTTTCTTTAAAACAGTAATTTAGTTAGCCAATAATGGGCAATCAATCAATGTATTGCCGGTTAATCCTTTGAAAGAAGGACGTTGTTTTACGCAGACACCGACACGACAGAGGGTATTCAGTATAGATTAGTAAATCTACATACATAAACACTACCTTTGACAATTCCGCTGTGTAAGATAAAAGTAATTAATCAATCAGCGTGTTATCGGTTAATCCTTTGATCGATGTTTATAATGTTGAATATTTACTCCAGACACAAGAAATGCCAAATGGGAACCTTTGTCGGGTAATTTAAGTGTGTTACCACTAATTATACCTGTTATAAATTCATTAACTGACCATCAAGTGAATGATGACAAATAACATGTGTAGTATTAATTGCTGTATTGCATGTGAAAACTTATGGGCCGACACTGTTTTGAGAATACAAACAGAATTTTACATGACATGATTAAATATCGAGGTAAAAAAACACAGAAATGGGATCAATTTGGATCAGTCATTATACAAATAGGGCCTAACGACACCAATCGATTTTGACAGAATCGTCTATGAAAACAAGTTGTAACTCGGAAACTAGGCAAAGCAGGAGACAAAATTAAATGACAGTAGATTGTGAGAACATATAGCTTTCATTTTCCACAACAATTGTCACGATTTCAGGTTTATACAAGCCTGTAAACAAGATAATTTAACCCCTAAAATGTAGATGAATTCTGCACAGGCCCTCCAAGCTATTCCTCATATGACGTCACAGAGTCGCGCCGCTCTGATTGGTTGAAATTTCGTTCGCGGGTGAGAATTGTGCACTGTTGTCAAAAAGGTCGATTTAAGTCAATTAAAGGTCGAAATGAGTAGTTTTAATGACGGGGTTTCATTTATAACGATGCCAGTTAGTGATTTATGTATTTGTACCCCCTAGGGTTTATGTGACCTTTAAAAGAACCACTAAACTTTGTTTTGTTACTCTTTTAACCATTACATATGAAAGATTGGTGGTTAGTCTTATGCGGAACACCAAATTTATTCTTTAAAAACTTGTGGTTATTTAATACCGAGCGATTAAAAGTGGCCCAAAAGTCGCCTGCTTCCCTCTCGCCCGCCAACGAAACCACAGACAGGTTACGTAACTCTGTCGCCGGAGCACTGCAGTGACGTCATATGAGGAACGATTTTCAGTTAGTTGTATAGAAAATGTGTAGCACGCTCATCATTTTGATGATTTCTCGACATCAACGACGACATGCCGAATCGTTGCTTTGTCGTCAATTGCTCCTAGGGGTCGGGCGATGGTGTCCCCATGCACATATTTCCACAGGACCCCGCAGTTCGTGCTAAATGGGTTATGTTTGTGAGTGCGAAGCGAGCGTTGTGGAAGCCTGAAACGATATCTTACTTGTGTTCAGATCGCTTCACGGAAGTTAAAGAATCAAAACTACTTACTAGTTGTAGTAAAATATGCATATGATTGATGACCATAAAGATTTTCTATGACACAACTTGTAACATAACGATTTCTTCCTCGGAAGTGGTCGAAGTAACAATAATATTGTAAGTAGTATTATATTGAAACCCACCTCGCTGCCACGAGAGAAATTGTTATGTTATACGCTTTGTCATGCAAAATCCTATTGGCCATCAATAAAATACATATTTTACTACCAGTAGAAAGTAGTTTTGATTTTGTAACTCGGTGAAAACAAACCTAAATACCATTTATCCTCAGACTGGCGGATGTTCCCGACAGAAGCGCCGCCATTTTAAAAATAAAAAATCTGTTAGAATTAATGAGATTATAGTTTGTTTTCATCAAGTTAGATAATCAAGACTACTTTCTACTCGTAGTTAAATATGTATTGGAATTATAACCAAACGGATTTTGCATGACACAACTTATAACATAACGATTTCTTCCACGGAAGCGAGGTGGGGTCGAAGTCACAATACTGCGCGATAAATTTCTTGCTACATTCCCATGGTTAATGTCCACTCACCAGTATGTAGATACTAGTCAATGTGCGTCTTGTATTTGGTCTTATAATCCTAATTAGTTTATTATCATACTTGTATGCATTTTGAAACTAAATAAAAAGCAGACGATCTGCTGATACTTATAGTGAATTTAAAACAGAACTGTAATATCTAGACATTTTATAGTTTGCCAATGTGAATCATAATTCGCACACACACCCTAGTGCATGTTGTCTGTCTCATTACATTTCACGGCGAAAACAATGATTCTGTTGAATGCTACGACAAATGAATAAAAACAAAATGCAAATATTAAAATTAAAACAGATTAAAGTTATAGGAACAATATCAGGCCATTACCTTGTTCGAGGAATGTATCCATCAATATCCACAAAACTGTTCCAAATGATATGTCTTTTAACAGTTTAATATACGAAAAAGTGATCAATCTTTTCAGGCATTGGTGTATAGTCTCATTGGTCACCCAAGAAAGCACACCTGGCAACTAATTGCATAATGTCCGCCTTTCTTTAAAAACAGTAATTTAGTTAGCCAATAATGGGCAATCAATCAATGTATTGCCGGTTAATCCTTTGAAAGAAGGACGTTGTTTTTACGCGGACACCGACACGACAGAGGGTATTCAGTATAGATTAGTAAATCTACATACATAAACACTACCTTTGACAATTCCGCTGTGTAAGATAAAAGTAATTAATCAATCAGCGTGTTATCGGTTAATCCTTTGATCGATGTTTATAATGTTGAATATTTACTCCAGACACAAGAAATGCCAAATGGGAACCTTTGTCGGGTAATCTAAGTGTGTTACCACTAATTATACCTGTTATAAATTCATTAACTGACCTTCAAGTGAATGATGACAAATAACATGTGTAGTATTAATTGCTGTATTGCATGTGAAAACTTATGGGCCGACACTGTTTTGAGAATACAAACAGAATTTTACATGACATGATTAAATATCGAGGTAAAAAAAACACAGAAATGGGATCAATTTGGATCAGTCATTATACAAATAGGGCCTAACGACACCAATCGATTTTGACAGAATCGTCTATGAAAACAAGTTGTAACTCGGAAACTAGGCAAAGCAGGAGACAAAATTAAATGACAGTAGATTGTGAGAACATATAGCTTTCATTTTCCACAACAATTGTCACGATTTCAGGTTTATACAAGCCTGTAAACAAGATAATTTAACCCCTAAAATGTAGATGAATTCTGCACGGCCCTCCAAGCTATTCCTCATATGACGTCACAGAGTCGCGCCGCTCTGATTGGTTGAAATTTCGTTCGCGGGTGAGAATTGTGCACTGTTGTCAAAAAGGTCGATTTAAGTCAATTAAAGGTCGAAATGAGTAGTTTTAATGACGGGGTTTCATTTATAACGATGCCAGTTAGTGATTTATGTATTTGTACCCCTAGGCTCTTTTTATGTTTATGTGACCTTTAAACTGAGGATACTGCAGTCTGGCTCCACGGACTTGACACCAGCAGAGAAGCTGAATCTCCATCTCAAAACCATCGAGGAACTGAGGGAAGCTAACTCTTCTACGGAGGACTCCTCAAGATTGAGATCAGCGGTAATATTAATTGTTTTTAGATTAATTTCATTCTTCTCACTACTTGAGTTGTGTAAACAATATTTACAATCCAAGTCCGATTGATAGTGATGATGTAATGGAATATTATATATAGTTGTAAATCCTATGGAAGATCATTTTTGAAAACTTCACAATCTAATAGGTTGGGCAACTTGGAGTGGCAGGAGGGGTGTCAACAGGAGACACAAACCGGAGTGTTTTGACGATGCTGATGACACACTCAGTCGCCATGCAGGTGAACTGGAGGGGGACTTCAGGAAAAGAACCCTTTCAACAGATGAGACTGAAGGAAGATGTTTTCAGTAAGTTCTCAATCATACGATCCCTCTAAGTAAGTGTGACTTTATATACGACAATACATAATAGTAATTTATATTAAAATGGTTATGAAATTGGAAAATTATTAATATAGCAGCTTTTTTTTACTTTCAAATTCAGTATCCATTTCAGAGTCAGCAAGGATGAGCCCGGTATGCTTGAAGGCGTGCGCGTCCGACTGCGTCCTATGCTCCGACAGGGACGGTGGGAGGAGGGAAAGGACCCTGCTTGCCCAGCAGAGGAAGTGCGCTGCTGCTGCTGCAGCTGAGACAAACCCCCAACGAACTGTTTCTTACTTATTCTTTAGCTCATTGTCTAATCTTCATATTCACTCATTAAAATCTTTATTTCATTGCATTTATTTAATAAAAGAGAGAATTAAAGTTGTTAAAAATACACATGAATTTTGGTTTTCAACCTCGTATATTCAACTATGTGATATACACATTTCAGCACTATTGAATTTCATATCTCAACACAATTCTAAGGTATTTGTTAAAAAATTTGTGTTGTTGTTAGATATACAGAGAATCTCACCCGTGTGTCTTTTGATATCAAACATATCACCACACGTTCATGACGTCATAGCATTGTGCAAAATCTACTGTCAAAACAATATCTCCTATGAGATATCATCTGATCTCACACAAGCAATATATCTTGTGGAACACAGTTTTGGATGATAAATACTGATATATAGAGGATACTAAACGACCTTCCGTGTAATACCATTTTTATTAAACGAGATTGATTTGGTAAGTGTAATAACATTGTACAATTATTAAACAGAGATATTTTCAACTGGTGAGTAGTAAATGAACATATGTCCTGTTTCTTATAACTTTTACACTTTTTTATTTCCTTCTTGTTCGATTTTAACTTTCAACTGGTAATTGGCAATAAAGTGTCAAAGTTCTATGTTCATTTCGCAGTCCTATTTTTACAGTATTTTTTTTACAGTTTTTTACAAATACAAGAGTTGGGTGGTAGAGAAAACCAAGATACAATTTCTTGGCCTTAATTAATGAAGATTCACACATGTACATTGAAAAGCCAGGGTGATATGATTGGCAAAACGAAAGCACAGTATTGGCTACACATGTACACTATAGCATGTCATCATTGGGCCAATGCTGGGCCAACGTTGATAATCAGCATTGTCCCAATTTTTTTACAGCAGTGGCCCAATGCTGCTATGTTACCGAGGTACCGGCTGGTCATTTTAGGTGAATGATTTAAGAAATACACTTCGCTCTACCACCATGTTTTATTACACTATACATTTCTTTTCTAAGAAGCCAAATTTAATACTTTCTAAAGATAATTACGATTAATTTAAGGCAGCAAACAAACGACGGTGTCGGTGACCTAAATTAAGAATCCTCGCACAGGGCTAGCTGGCGCGCTGTTCTATTGATGTGTCTGCCCCCTACGTTAAGACGAACGTTACCAGAAAAAAACAAATGATAACAGTTTGATGACGGTTTACGTTCGGATTAAATATCTTCTCTGAATTATTTTAATTACATCTGTCATTAACGTAAACCATATGGGGCAATATGAACGTTGCATTGCTACTACCAGCGTAAGTTTAGATCAGTACATCCAGAGGAAGTTGAGTAAAACATTACGAAGTCTGAAACCTTGTGAGTCGACATTCCACAATTGCATTGTGGAATGTAAACATGATACGAACTGTTACCGTGTCGCTGAAACCTTGTGAGTCGTAAAAATGACACATTTTAACCGTCGTCATTCAAAACATAAACTGTAATGTTTCCACCAGTGATGTTAGCTGCGTGAAGCAACAGCAAACCAAGAAACTGGATGCAACGGTGTAGTTTACTGTAGATGATCATTGGAGGTTTTAATACCGTACGGTTCAAGAGGCGATGACAAGCGACATGCATCGTGACGTCGCTTACAAATTCGTTATGACTGCTTCAATAAGTAATGTAAAATGGTTCGATTACGAGGGGCACACGAGAATGGCGCAGTAGGACGATCTTTGGATAACGTCATTCAATTGTTACGTCATCAAAAACTATGAAAAAGGAACAATGTTCAGCAATCCTTTATTGTCTGATAATGTATCACCAATTATTTTTTTCGATTGTTCTAACCGCTAGGCATCTTAGAATCGGGAGATAAACATCATGATAAACATCAAGTGTTTGCCAACACATGATGTTTATCGACATTGTAAACACAAAAGTAAACCAAAAGGTCTACACACGTATTTGTGTCTGCACTCATTGACATAGAGTACGGGTACAGCAGTGCAATGTTATCAGCCGGCCGTTTCGGCCGTTTCGGCTGTCTCCCATGGTAGCATCCCTTTGCGCGGGCTAACGTTCGACAAAGCTAGGAGCCGGTATAGGCTACCATTTAAAACGCTCTGCTCGTTTATTTGACGTCACATCCGGATTGGTCAAACTGGATTCCGTCGCGATTAAAGATCTGGGAATCATAAGACTTGAAAAGTGAATGTTGTGCGTGAATTGCGCTTACATGGTCCTGTATCTGCGTATGGCTATAAAATTACATAGAAATGTAGAATATTAAGTTTCCTATCCGTTGGTATAAATATGAGTGCACCTACCTCAGGCGGTTTGAGAAATAGACACTGTTAAATTTTTGTTATGCGTTAAAAAGCAGTAAATATCTCCGCTTTTGATTGTGTATTGATGAAAGCACTGTGCTACGAATTTTTTAATTTGGCATCGTTACGGAAAGTGTGAGCGAAGAAAATACAGCCTGATATCCGAACGACATAAGTATATATGAAATGGGTTTGTGTGCTTATGCATAACGTTATACGATCAATCTTAAAAATGACTCGCAAGAAATGTCGAAAAAGGATTTTGTTCTATGACGTCAAACGACGACAGAGAGGCCATACACGTATAAAGATAAGGGGTCATACCTCCGACATGCTTAACACTAGGTCAATGTAACTCAGAATACTTGGAGAGAATTTGTTCTGGATATGGACGCTATATTTTCGTTATAGTTTGTTCACCATGAACCAAACTATACTAAGACAGAGTTCCACAATGTGAGCGGATATGTTTTGGTAGTTGCACAATTCATAAGGAAAGATGACAAAGCACTACATGAGAAAGCACGTAATAGCGATTTGGATGGCCCTATCTGATATATAATTTAGTTCTTAGATTCCCATATTCTCCTGTTTGTGCATATGTATTTTGACTAATTTTGCATCATTATTAATAAAGTACTAGCCATATCTTCAAATGTAAAGAAATTACTGAATTTAAAACCACTGGATGCGGAAGTATTTTGTGATGCAGTTTCATAGGATCTGAAAGGTGAACGTTGCATTGGATCTACGGTCCTTCAACCATAACATTATGTTCAGATGTAGAATACATTTAGATCTGCTGACACTTGTCTAACGGTACGAGATTTTGTATACAATTGCAACACTAACATTGTCAATTTCCTATTAAAAGTATGTTCAAACCAACTAATTATCAAACGTTCATAAATCTATAAACTACACAGTGTAAGATCTGAATTGTGATGATTTGTTTACATTTTAAACAAGTAGAGTTTGCTCCGCCTTCGTTTTCACACCTTATCTATATTGCTCAATTTCATATAACCACTTTGTATTGATGACAACACCATATTGCTTAAAAAGCCTACCCATGTTGATTTAATATTTGGTGAAAATTGATGAACAAAGAGTTTGCCGCGGTGTTGATGCAAAGTTTTCTTGTTGCTGTACTAAAGTGTCTTCAGGACACATTCAGCATTTTCTAAGTGAATCATTCAATACTTATATATCGCCACAAAATATTATAAATTCATTTTTCGACTTACTACTGATTTTGTGCCAGTGTTGGGCCTGTTGGCACACCTACCCACTCTAAAACATGTATACCTTTCTAACGTCATCCGCGAGGAAAGTTTGGAATATTTGCATTACGAGATTTAATTTGTAACCCTGGCTCGACCGATGTCCACATGTATAAATTACCTGCATATTTGTCTTGTTCATACATCAGATATGATTTTATTCGCTCAGTTTTCTGACAAGCTTATAATAAAAATCTTTGTCGCATAGGGAAATTAGGGTGTGTATTTGAAAAGCGACGATCTGTTCACGCAAATAAAACGATTATTTACGTTTACTATTATTTCTCGTGAATATTGATATCAAATATGTACAATAACAGAAAGTAAGAATTTTGAAAACGAAGTTTCCAAAAAATAAGAACAATTTATATTTTCAAAGGTCTTTCAAGCGCCTGCATGGCCGATTTTTTAAAACGATACAAAATGTGTTTTGGACGTCTTAAGATGAAGGACAGCGCGGCCGTCTAAAAATAGCAACTAATGGAAAATGACATAACATTGTCAATGTTGGCTTTTCGTAGGCCTTCTCAGCCATCGTCTCTTTGGCCTGTACCGGCTCGTATATAGAGAATGGTTGTACCCCATAACCCCTACATGCCATTACCCCTACACCCCAGTACCCCTACAATTAGTTAAAACAACACACGGCATTTACCTGTCTGGCATAATGGACTGACCCAAGGAGAGATTAGTGCATAGAGTATACAGATGAGATCGAGGGAGGGATTAGTGCATAGAGTATACAGATGAGATCAAGGGAGGGATTAAGCTGTTGTTTGGTGTTTTGTGTCAAGGAAATTTGGGATCAGCTAAAAGTTGATTAGTTTCATGATGAAAGATAAACCTCTAGTGAGTAGAACAATTTTACAAATTGGATAGTGTTTTGTGTCAAGGAAATTTGGGATCAGCTAAAAGTTGATTAGTTTCATGATGAAAGATAAACCTCTAGTGAGTAGAACAATTTTACAAATTGGATAGTGATTTGTGTCAAGGAAATTTGGGATCAGCTAAAAGTTGATTAATTTCATGATGAAAGATAAACCTCTAGTGAGTAGAACAATTTGTGTAGGTTGTTAAATGTTGAAATTAAGTTGTTTTAGTGCCAGGATGAAAGATACACAGTAATATTGAAACCCAGTCTTAGGACCCCTAATGTTCATAATGTATATTAATGATATTGTAGATGATATTGCTAGTAATATTAGACGACACGTCTCTATGCGTTATAATTGATGATCCAGACATAGCTGCAGACTGTTTAAATAATGACTTATTAGGAATTTCAAATTGGGCCAAAGAATGGAAGGTTTCATTCAATCCTAACAAAACAAAATCAATACAGTTCAGTAGAAAACTAAATAGAAGCATTGAGCCTGATCTTACAATGAACGGTGTGATAACCAAGACGTAGATAATCATAAGCATCTTGACCCTTCAAAATAATTGTTATTGGGATATTCACATAAACTCTATGAAACGAAAGTTAGCCCACTGATTAAATGCTCAAGAAGTTTGAAATATTGATTATCGCGTAAAAGTTTAGAAATTATCTACAAATCTTTCATCTTACCGACGACATATGCCAGATCATTTCTACCTGATACAATAAAACTGGAAATCCCTAAGTTCGGAAATTCAAAATATTGATACTTTATCCCGATTCAAAAACTCAATATTAAGACAATATAACAAAACTATTATTTTTGATCTAAACTGATTTGATTTGAATGCTGATAGGTTTGATAGACATCATCGACAGCCCTCGTGCTCATGTGGACACCCAGTCTACGAATATATACGAACGAGATTGTCCTTCCTATGGTATCTGACCGAGGCGAAAGCGAGGTCAGATAACATAGGAAGGTCACGAGTTTCGTATAATTCGTATGTAATGAGACCGAGTGTGGTATTTTATTTATTACCCACGTCTTACATGCATTAAATTGACAAAATAGCGTATTTTGTTAATATTTTGGTTTCAAACCGAAACCGGTTTCATAAAGAGGTTGCGGAAGAGTTTTGTACTGTAGTACAATATTTGCATGACGTCACACTGTAATGACGTCACTGCCTTGGTAACCGACGTCACGATGCATGTCAGTTGTCATCGCCTCGTACAGCCTCCTACAGTAAACTACTCCGTAGCACCCCGTTTCTTGGTTTGCAGTTGCTTCATTCGGCTAACATCACTGGTGGAAACATTGCGTTTACGTTTTTCGACGGATATAATGTCTCAGTTCGACTCACAATTAAACAGCGACACGGCAACGTTCGCGATGTTTACATTCCCACAATGCATTTAAGTTGTAGAATGAATGGATTCACGTGTTTGTTATGAATGAAAAAATAGTTACGTCAGAATGTGACCTAATTGAGAGGTCATCGGTTATCCAATCAAATCGTTAGAATCTCAGGTCAAGTCGTTACGACACAGGTCAACGCGATACGACACTCGTGTGACGTACGAGATTAGTATGCAACTACCCATACGTTGACCACGTGGGTAATAAATAGAGAATATTACACGAGGTTCATTACATACGAATTATACGAACGAGTGTCCTTCCTATGGTATCTGACCGAGCGAAAGCGAGGTCAGATAACATGGGAAGGTCACGAGTTTCGTATAATTCGTATGTAATGAGACCGAGTGTGGTATTTTATTTATTACCCACGTCTTACATGCATTAAATTGACAAAATAGCGTATTTTGTTAATATTTTGGTTTCAAACCGAAACCGGTTTCATAAAGAGGTTGCGGAAGAGTTTTGTACTGTAGTACAATATTTGCATGACGTCACTGTAATGACGTCACTGCCTTGGTAACCGACGTCACGATGCATGTCAGTTGTCATCGCCTCGTACAGCCTCCTACAGTAAACTACTCCGTAGCACCCCGTTTCTTGGTTTGCAGTTGCTTCATTCGGCTAACATCACTGGTGGAAACATTGCGTTTACGTTTTTCGACGGGTATAATGTCTCAGTTCGACTCACAATTAAACAGCGACACGGCAACGTTCGCGATGTTTACATTCCCACAATGCATTTAGTTGTAGAATGAATGGATCCACGTGTTTGTTATGAATGAAAAAATAGTTACGTCAGAATGTGACCTAATTGAGAGGTCATCGGTTATCCAATCAAATCGTTAGAATCTCAGGTCAAGTCGTTACGACACAGGTCAACGCGATACGACACTCGTGTGACGTACGAGATTAGTATGCAACTACCCATACGTTGACCACATGGGTAATAAATAGAGAATAATATAACATACGAGGTTCATATATACGAATTATACGAACGAGTGTCCTTCCTATGGTATCTGACCGAGCGAAAGCGAGGTCAGATAACATAGGAAGGTCACGAGTTTCGTATAATTCGTATGTAATGAGACCGAGTGTGGTATTTTATTTATTACCCACGTCTTACATGCATTAAATTGACAAAATAACGTAGTTTTGTTAATATTTTGGTTTCAAACCGAAACCGGTTTCATAAAGAGGTTGCGGAAGAGTTTTGTACTGTAGTACAATATTTGCATGACGTCACACTGTAATGACGTCACTGCCTTGGTAACCGACGTCACGATGCATGTCAGTTGTCATCGCCTCGTACAGCCTCCTACAGTAAACTACTCCGTAGCACCCCGTTTCTTGGTTTGCAGTTGCTTCATTCGGCTAACATCACTGGTGGAAACATTGCGTTTACGTTTTTCGACGGGTATAATGTCTCAGTTCGACTCACAATAAAACAGCGACACGGCAACGTTCGCGATGTTTACATTCCCACAATGCATTTAGTTGTAGAATGAATGGATCCACGTGTTTGTTATGAATGAAAAAATAGTTACGTCAGAATGTGACCTAACAGAGGTCATCGGTTATCCAATCAAATCGTTAGAATCTCAGGTCAAGTCGTTACGACACAGGTCAACGCGATACGACACACGTGTGACGTACGAGATTAGTATGCAACTCCCATACGTTGACCACGTGGGTAATAAATTACGATATGCGAGACGGGGCCCAGCTTACATCTAGAACTGCTCATTTGTGACGTCATTCGGACTTTACGTCACAATATGATTTGAATGAAGTCATCTCAGCTGACGACGTAACAATACAATGGTGTGAGCGATGTTTGTATGTATATAATACGCAGCAATTTCCGGGAATCGAATACCATTTGATCACGTTTTTCAACCCATCAGATTAAAGAACGGAGTGACTTTTGGTTTACAATATGATTTCATTTCACTTGCGTATTGAAAACAGCCGTTCGTTAAAAATATGTGAACCAAAATGAACCCAGAGACAAAACTATGTTTATCAACTGGCTTTAACTGATAGGAAACGGGCAAGACAATGGTTTACATACACGATCGATGCATGCACGTAGTACCTTACATAGGCGGATCCAGAGGGGGGGGTGCAGGGGTGCGCACCCCCCCTTTTGTGCTGAAAATTTGTTAAATGACCATTGAAACTCGGGTGAAAATGAAGTGTGCACCCCTCCTTTAATCAATAGTGTGCACCCCCCCTTTCTCAAAAAGCTGTATCCGCCCCTGCCTAAAGCCTCGGGGTTTTGCTTACGTTATTTCCTTGAAAGACATCATTACGTTTGATCTCCTGTATTACTATATTACACTATATAAGATTATGTGTGTGTTTTTTAAATTCGGCCAAAACCTGGTCTGGAAATAATTCTTTATTGGCATACAAATTTTAACCGCCTCAATCAGTCTTTTTAATAGCTGTAAATAATGATGCAATGTCAACCAAAAGATTCAACTATTTCATGTTTTTGTCACCAGTTGTGTTTGTTGCTGAAAATACTTAGGATCGCACCTGTTGATTAGTTTGGGTAAGGAAATGCTCGGGTAATCTTATGGAGACTATTTTCGAACCACTTTTAAATACAAACCCCTCTGGGTCTTGTGGTTTCTTGGGAAAAGATTTCAAGATTTGAAGGGCACTAAAAGGTGGGATTTTTTTAAACATGTAATTGTCTCTGGGTGTCGCTTACTGAATCATAGGGTACAAATAATTACATTTAGAGAGTTCAGTTAGCAGCCGGACCCATGTGTATTGGCGGTATACAATAACACACATTTGTGACGTTCTTTTATAGTTTTAGTCTCTATGTTAGAACGATGCAAGTTTACATATATCACTACGGCTACCAGAATTACATTAACTACTTAATGCGGATTACAAATTAGTTGTCGTTTGTTAAGTTGAATAGAGGACAAATTAGCAGTTTCACGTATCAGTGGATTCATTACAGGCCTGCATTTGATTTATACGTATTTAATCAGGAGAATAATGTCACAGTGCTAATCCTATCGTTGTTTACTAAGCAACGGGGATGACGGTGAAGTGTCAAGTCAGAACAGGTATTGTTCTTAGCTTGAATAGATCCAGTACGGATTTCTTGTGTGCCTTTGAAGAAGGGAAACAACTGCTGTGTAGATTTGCTGGCGCGCAGTTCCTATAATAAAGAGCGCATGCGTGTTTCAACTATCAGTCAGTGCGAGTTTACAGAATGGCCGATCTAGGTAAAGACTACGGTGCAAACGGTTCCGATCCCAAGAACATTCAGGATTTGACCACATTTGTAAGTAATTTATAACTGTTATCCTACATGGTACATAACTACTTACATTGTGTTGTGCACCGAAACCTAATTAAGTGTACAGCAGGTAAATACTGACAAATGGTGGCCGAATGTTGTTTTCCTGTTTTCCCCGTACTATTGAACTAGTCATGTGTCAACTTGTTTGGGGTTTTGACAGGTGATTTACTGTCGTCTTGCATGGTACAGTTGGACACTGGCAACTTTGTCAGACACGTTCATGGAACTCCAGCGTAACTGTTACTTGTATTTGTGATTGTGCTGCATTTGTATCTTCCAAAAAGGCCTGCTAAATACCCAGATCTAGCCAGTAATGTTTTGTCACACCCACGAAAGGACTGTCAGCCTCCATCCCCTATGTAACAGTTTAATCTACATGATGTCAGCGAAATATATTTGCCAATTACATTCAGATGAGTCACTGTTAGTGGCAATGTTTTCAAGTTTTGTCAAGATTGTTGATTTGGGGCTTCTGGAATAGGCCAAGTTGTTGAGTTTAAATAAGTAATCATTTTCAAATGTAGATTTATGATATATATATTTCGAAAGTCGTCAGTTTATGTTAGAAGACAAAATGTATTTATGCAGGTCCTATTCTTTTGGGGTACAAGGCAAGATAGTTGATAATGAAGCTTCCATAAGTTACAACCCCAGGGATAACAACTTCTTGTTATTTGGCATAGAGCAACGTTTCAGTCTTAATATTACCCCGTTATCAAGCTAAAATTATGAAACACTCTATGCAATAAACAAGAAGTTATTATCCATAACGTTGTATGCTTTATTATTGACTCACCGATTTCTAGAATGCCTAGGACTCAATTTGAAAGATAGTTTTGTTTTGACTTACTGTACATAAAAGAGTGTTATATGTTTATTGATCCCATGTGTAAGCAACCTCAAGGTGTTTGCACTCCAGGGCTGGTAACTAGGCAAGCGAAGACAGACACAATCAGGTGTTGTTCCATTCATTTGTCCGTATCCAAGCTGGATTATGGATGGTGTAATGTCACATTGGCTATTGTGAATTCCATCAATATGTTACATGGATCCAAGGTCTCCTGTATTATACAGTAAACCTTGATTATGAATGTGTGTTCAAGGGTTCAAGGACTGTAATGAGCCTGAATCCTTTTGTGGTATTTTACTCAATGTGAATTGTACTTTGTATGGCTCAGATGGATATGAACTATATAAATACTCACAAATATTCACATACAATATGACAAACAGTCCAAATCAATTTTGCAATTGGGGTGAAACATTTTTGCTGAATACATGGTTCAGTTGTGGCTTGGAAAGGGTCAAATGTCAGAGTGATTAATCTAAGGTCAAGAGAGGTTACGTTTCTTTATATCATCACACATCACAAGTTGTAAAATTAGGATTAAATAGGCTGTCACAGGCTGCTGTTCTTCCCCATGGTTACAGCAGATTTAGGAAATACAAATAAAATTTGAATAAAATATAAGTTGAATTGCATTTAACTTACAAGGACCAATACAGTATCCATGAATAGAATAAACTCCCAAAATGGGTCAAATTGAAAGGAAAGTGCTCCAGAAAAGTAACATTTGTATCTGCCATAGAACTGACTATGGTTACTGTTCATTGGGTTTGACATGTCACCAGCCTGCTAGTCTGTATTGTGGGTTAGCTGGATTTACAACATGGTGTGTGACACCATGACAGTTTCTCACCACTGGTAGTGACATACGAACATTGAGAGCATAGACTAGTGAAGATACAGCACATACCTAGTAATTATTTAATGTTTGGTTACATGTGATAAAGTTGTGATGAGCTATCAGTACAAAACTTGATCAGTATACTTATGTATTTCAGGTCCAGAACCTACTCCAGCAGATGCAGGACAAGTTCCAGGTCATGTCAGATCAAATCATCACAAGGAATATCCTTTCAATTGTCAATGTTCAGGCAAATGTCCTTTGTATACACTCTGGGAGGTAGTTGGTGTTAAGTGTATCATCAGCTTGTCAATTTTGAATGCAGTATTGCAGTACACACTCTGCCTGAAACAATGCTCAGGTGTGTCCGAATATAATAGAAAAATGTTTTTCATTCTGTATCAATGCATGTAGTTTAGTCAAAATTGCCACCACCTTGATTCTACCACAAAACCAAAAGTTTCAAATCTTTTGGTACCTTCTGAAGGTCATTGACATGTCATTATGTTGAGCCAAAATACAGTTGAACCTCGTAATGAACTCAATGGGGACATGGAAAAATGTTGAAGATGACGAACAAAGTCAATTGAACTCAACTGGACATTGAGCAGTAAATAAAAAGCCTCCTGCCTTAAGTGTAATTTCAGCAATCACATAGAGATCAGTCAGTTGTGTGTGAAGAGAGGTGAGTTTGGTGTGTGTGTGTGTGCATGCGTGCAACTGTTCTGATTATCAGGGGAATATCTTATTTAATTGGGATTCTTGGGACTCCCAAATGATACTAGTGACAATTTAACACATCCCTTTCTGTGGATCAGAGTATGAATGATGATGAATATAGAATGAATTGAAAAGAACTGGAATTAAGTTCAAGACAACTGAAAATTTAATACATCTCACTCTCAGTTTGACGCAAGGCGTTTCAGCTGTAAATGTAAGCATACCTCTTCTTTGGTCTTGTATCAGTTGAACATTTTTACATTTGTGTTGATTTCTTTAACTCTCTCACTTGATGATATGGGAAACAGAATTGATGACCTTGAGAAGAATATTGCGGACTTGATGACCCAAGCTGGAGTTGAGGATGGCCGTGTGTGATGAAAATCATGGATGATGTCGTCGCAATGAAGTCACTTTTAATGAAGTCACTTTTTTCAATACAATGGCTGTGACAGTCTCCTTGTAATGGAGACATGTGTTGTAGAAGGCCTTTTGTAGATGTTTCATATGATCTGATGGAAACTTGCCTAGCCCATGGAATGTATGTTCAACAGTCCGTCCAAGAATGGGAGGCTTTGATTACACCAAACCATTTTAGTGTCTCTCCAAATTCATAACTTTCACTCTCATTAGGAGTTAACATCAAAATCATTACAAACTGATGCATGTCCATTTCCAAAGCATTCCATTGTTCTGTACTGATAATAATGCTTTTGTCTGTCAAACTTTCAAATCAGTAGAATGCTAAGGTCTTGTTCGTATTAGTGAAAGTGTAAAAAGAGATAAACTGGCCTTAATTTGATCATGAAAATGTTGATATTTGTGATGTGTGCATTAAATATATACGTAATAAAACATAATCAAATTTACAATTTTGTATTTGTTTTTGAATGAGACAACTTGGAAACCAACCATGTGATGTTATAAGTTGTTCATTGGTCACAAGGGGGGCATGGGTTGTACCCTCTATGTTTGTTTATCTTTGTCTCAGGGAACATAAACAAACATAGAGGGTACATCGACCCATGGGCCCCGAGGGACCAGTGAACAATATATTTATCTTACCGAATACCTCAATGTTAATTTTGAACTGTTTGAAGCACAGGTATTGGATCATAATAAGGAGTACTGGAGTTAGGCAATTAGCCAATATTGATTTTCATATGACATAGAATCATCTCGCAGATGACAAGAAAGACTTAATTTAGAGTTATCACCCTTTCTTCGATTTGCATTTGCAAAACATCAGTAATTTCTGTACATCATACATGACTCAATTATTCGAGATAAAGAATTACTAACACGAAGCACCAAATGAATTCCCACAGTTCAGCATTCCCAGCGGGTAACATAGTAAATGTTACTCGCTTGTAAGTGGGGTACATTGAAAATAATAGAAGAGTTATAGCCAATCAGAAAATGACATTTGTGTGTGAGGTAAGATAATTGTGGGTGTGCTATGGCTGCAAAAACAGGTAGTAATTCTTTGGTCCATCTGCTTTTCACATCACCTCATTATCAGTCGGTGATCTCATGATCGGTTTTACAGAGTCCATACAAGGATTACGGTTCACAAGTTACAGATTCATTTCATAGCTGTCTTACATTTGAACCTGCTACATTACACAACAGCTGTATGTATTGAAAGGTGATGAGGGAACCTTGCATAGGCAAACATTTGAATTTTGAATTAGTTTCTACTAAAATGGTTTTTTCTTACAGTATATTCAGTATTAAAGCAGGTTCTTAATGGTTCTGTCTTGGATGCTCCACAATGTCTCTCCCAAATTTAATAAGAAAGTTCATCTGCACTTTAGGTCATAACAGATTACCAGAAACCCTGATAGCTTTAAATTTCCAACTTTATGGGTATTGTGATTTGTCTCAGTGAGATGTTTGTATAATATCTGACCCGATGTATTGGATCCCATGTAAAATATCAAACGAGGAGTTAAACGACAAACGTCTGGTCTGATGTCAAATTGGTGAGTGCAGGACGACCAAAAATTCCACAGCTTCTTGGTTTCTCTTGAAGTTGGATGCACAGTTGTCACTTCCAGTTCTTAATACATTTACATGACTTTTAAGTACATTAACTAACCCAGTACATTTTCTTACTTTGCCACAACTACAAGATAAATGGTGGCCAGATTACATGAATGTCATTAAGCAATTTCATTTCATAAAACTGTTCAATGGCTGTGATTGACAAGTCTTTTGCCCGGAGTAAAATTGTTTTACCTCTAAACTATTATGACTAAGATTAATCAACAGAACAAATTCTTTGCACACTTTGCACTTCAGGATGAGAAACATTGCATCTATTGTCTGTATTGCAGCTTGGTTATTTAATGCTTTAAATAATCTGACACAAGATTTGAAAATTTTAATATAAATTGTATATTTATATACTTATCCTATCTCACAATTTGCACTTTTCTCTCTTGCTTCGACGCTGAGTGGAACAAATGAGAACTTTTCCTGTAGGCCTCACTTGTCCATATGCCTGTGTTCCCCAGGCTGCTGTCCTTATAGGACAGGTCCCTAGTCCCCGCTAAGCATGCAGCACCTTCCCCTGTCTACCCACGTGACTACCTCAGAGTGATCATTCTCTTCTTGGAGCCAATGACAGTTATACATAACCGTCGATATCTGAGTAGAGGGGAGGCTGGGTGGGCTTCCATCTCGTGAGATAGGATAAGTATATGAATATACAAGTTATATTAAAATTTTCAAATTTTTAAACTTATCCTATCTCACGATTTGCACTTATCCCACGGTTGGATGGTAGGTCACAGATTACCCTAAGTCAAAAGGCACTGACAGTATATACTGTATAGGCTAATGACAACCGTAGCTAGCAATGAACAAGGGAGGTTGGTTCTGACTAGCATAGTACCTATACTAGTGATGGGTTCTTCTGAACCTCTTGACGTACTAGGCATCATCGCCCCCAAGGAGTGGGTGCTCCTGAGCAATGTGGTGTTCAGCTGCAGGATCCAACTAGCATAGTATCTATACTAGTGATGGGTTCTCCTGAACCCCTTGACTTACTTGGCATCATTGCTCCCAAGGAGTGGGTGCTCCTGAGCAATGTGGTGTTCGGCCGCAGGATCCGACTAGCATAGCAGTACCTATACTAGGTATGGGTTCTCCTGAACCCCTTGGCTTACTAGGCACCATCGCTCCCATGGAGTGGGTGCTCCTCAGAAATGTGTTCGGCAGCAACCCTCGCATACGCGAGAAAACGCAACTAGGCAAGTCACCTTGCTTTGCCATGATTTATCAGAGTACCCACGTAATTACGACTAGTAAATCGGGCCCGCACCTGCTTCGAGACAGCCCAGAACCCCAACCCCTCCACCCCTGACCCCATCACGACGAGGGGAAAAGGAAACTGAATTGGAAAACTCACAAGTTTAACGTTCAGTACCAAAACAACACCACATGACTTCCACTACTTACCACAGTTAGGTCACAACAGTGTGCTAAGGTACTTAGGAGCTAGAACACTACGAAATCCATAAGGAAATCGGGAAGGACTCACTACACTGACGTGATTGCTCCATGGAGTAGAGGTCAGCAAGCGAGATTGTCGAACACTTCTACATCCGTAGGGAGCAACGACAAGGTAGGCCAAGAACTACCAAGGTCACTACGTGCGACGGTTAGTTTGAACTCATTGACTTACTGAGCACAACTGCTCCCAGGGTCTGGGACTCCCGAGCAATGTGGTGTTCAGTCACTACCTTCACGAAAGTGAAAGTACGCAGCTTAGCGAGTGTAATCAGTCACATTACCACGATTTCCAAGGTACCCCCGTAATAAAAGTCTAATGACTAGTAGGGCTGGGACGAGTACTCGGGTACTCGAAGCCGGGTCGGGTACAGCTGGAATCGAGTCCTATTTCTTGGAATCGAGTACCCGGAAAGGGAGGGAACTCTGTAATGACTAGGGCAGATAATAACTTTTCTTTTTCACAATTGACGTAACACACAATTACATCATTGGTATTGTCCGATAAATGAAGGTTATTATTAACGACTGTAATTTATCTGCGCAGTGAGTAGTGAGAGAGTTTATTCGCATAATGGCCTCATGGCCCAGAGTACAGAAAATACACAATTCTTTTGCTTGCGCATTCGATACATATACATAAATATACTACATCAATATATAGCAGTCAAACAGGTAGATTTCTCTTCAGATAGATTGCTAGACTTTTAATAACATTCATATTTTTTGTGCATATAACAACTGCTTAAACTTAAAGACAGATGGATGTATATGATAATACCCAGGCACAAACTTCATCCGACTTGTATGGTAATAAGGACATACTAATAAAAAGTGGTATCCGTCTTCTACGACATCTACATGACACTTGATACATATTGCTATAGTATTATCGACATTGTCTTTATTGAAATGCAACTGTTGGACACCCAATTTGTGCGGTAAGCAACGAAATTTACGTAAAATACGCATCAAGTCTCTATTAGTGTACAACGCAGTTATATAAACTTCTGTTTCCAAAATAAACTTTAAGAAAAGAACTACTACCAATATCACTGCTCCAGGTTTGAAACAGACATCCTTGCAGCGCTTCTGAAACGTTGTCATAAATACATCTACGTTGCCGCCAGAGTTTTGTGTAATCCACACAAAAGAACATCCAAATTAAAACAATAGTGAACCAACATGAGAAACCCAGTTAACATTTCCCCTTTCACAAAGACTTTAAGCATTTCATAACAAGCTCGAGGATACCTATTGGCGTGTGTCCTCCCTATAGCTTAAAAACAACAAATGTTATGGTCCGTGCACAGATTAACTTCATGCTGTTACCTGCGTCTGCTTAATGGATTTGCCCAACAGAAAACAAACAAAACATATATAACATTTTTGCTGCGGCAGTTCATGTTGGTTTTTATAGTAAATAGTTTGCCTTCACAAAATGTAAATTTGCAGTCTTCAGTGAACAAGTTCCACATCGTGGTGTTTGACATTTTGTTACACTGACTGATAAACCTTTTTTCATAGTATCACTTCTATGCAAAATTGGAAGATTTGCTTTTATAATGGGCATAATTGTACAGTTATTTAGATTGTAGGTACAAACTTTTAGAAGAATGTCCATGTCTGTATTTGTTTCTTTTGTTTTCATAAGTGTCCCTCTTGGGACTTTTACTGCTTTATGAACAGCATTTTCAACTACCTAAGAAGATAATTGTGTTTTATATATCTATTACATATTACCTATTGTCACTAACATCATACCCATGATGACGACATAGTTACTACTGCAAGCGCCGCTTATGACGACACTTATTTTTCACTGTACACATGAAGAGCTGTTGAACGGCGAAATATCTTGTGCAGATAAAGTCTGGAGTTATATATATAGATGTACAGATAGTTCATCTATAGATAGGCTAATATATTCAGTGTGATAGTTTAGTGTCACTTTTAACCTCGGTGTTCAATCTGATCCATGTAGAACTAGTTTAGCCCAGCTTCAATAAGTAGCCAACTGCATCGTGGTACTGGATTGCAGTATATAAACAATTATACTATTTTAACTTCAAAACTCTTTCGTTTATATTTCACCTTTACTCCAATATACCTTTTACACCAATATGCTAGGCTTGGCTTGTGTTTTTTTGCTATCATATGAATACAAGAACATTAACTAACTACAATATACCCTTCTCTCTTGTCCTTTACTTTCTGGTTATTATGTTTACAACAACATAATTACTGGTCAATAGTAGTTCATATGGGAGAGCTGATGGACTGTGCTCATTACATGTCATGGGGGTGCATCTGCTCAAATAATTAATCCCTAATTAATCCCTTTAGTTATTTT